ATAGAAGTCCTGGCTTGTCTTCTTCGGACGTCCGAGTCTGAGTTCTTCACACGTCCGAAGATACTCAAAGGATGTCGGACGTCCGATAATCTCCTTTTGTGCGTCCGACATCATCCTCAGCACTCTTCATCCTCTTTGATCTTCTTTTCCTGTTTGGTATCATTTCTGAAAAGGATCTCTACAAAAAGTATTTAGTAACATCCAAATGTTTTGTAATCATCAAAAGATATGAATTGAGATAAACACATGCCTATTAGACGAGCCTGTTTTTTTAGCCATTGCTATTGTGCCACGTGTCCATCCCTACCATTTTTCTCCTATTTCTTGAGTGTTGCACTATAGGCCTCAGAAATGATAGGTTTCGAGACCCTCATCTCAACAACACATTTTAGGCCCCTTATCTCGTCCTTCTCGAGTTGGGGGCCTATTGTGAGGACCCCACCAACCACAGCATGAGCTCAACCAAAACTCAATTGCTGAGCTAACCGATTGTGCTGATTCATCAATCTTCTCCATGGATAAATGAACTTCCTAAGGTGGCTGAGCCCCCTAGCTGTCACCTCGAGCTATACCTCAAAGGAGGGACCTAGTTTGGCATGTGTCAAGTGCTGCCTAACATACACTAGGGTCCAAACCTAACCTTATTACCGCCGAACTACATTGGACCAAGATATTAGACTATCCTCCATTTCCCTCTCTCTTGCTCACCGACATAAATACCCCCCACTTTGTCCTTCCAAAAGTACACACACCATCCTCCTTACTCTCACTACTATGCCACTCAAAGGTCCTACTAACTTAAGCATTGAAGTGGAACTTAGGAATAGACCCCATCCAAACTTTCCTATTTTTTGCAAGATCCAATTTATTGTACTCCTCGACTCCGTACTTTGGTATTCGAGGATATCTTTGTGTAATGATCAAGGTTGAAGAATTAAGGAATTGAGGAAGATAAAAGGAGAGGAAAGAGAAGAACTACCGGGGACGAAGATAATAGAGTAGAAAGGATAGGGAAGATAGAGTTCAGAGTAGAATTGACTATTTGGAAGAGAAGATTACAATTCACATGCCCAACTGATCTTCATTACATCCCAAATTTTCTATATATAGATTCAGCTTACAAAGTAGTTACGCATAACTGATATTCCTCTTAAAACTAATTGGTCTAATTATCAGATTGGGTCATAACAATGCCTCCCCGTTAAACAATCCTTGTCCCTAGGATTGAACTCTGAAAAGTCTAAACTAGAAACAAATTGATCCCCTTGAACACAAGTCTAGTGAATGCAAAGTTGACCATGAGTCTTAGCTTCAAGGCAAAAAATGGTAACTATGCTCTCATCTTCCATTATCTGAGTTAATTCACCACCACCTGGATCCCATGGAAAATGTGATTTGCAAGCTCTGTAGTGCTGGAATTTTCCAATTGGAATAGTAGCAACTGTCCAAATCATTTTCAGCCCATAAACTTCACCCAAGTTGTCATGCCTCTATTTAATTCTATATTGGGCCAACTTTAAGACAGAATTATGCAATAGAATCAACACTTAGGTGACTTAAAAGCTGATTTGTCATCATCAAGTCCCAGTCCCAATTAATGATCAAAATTATGTTGTCCTCAATAGGCCTCTTACCCAATGCAACCTCTAATATCATGACAACAAGGCAAGAAAGATCACTTTCCAGATTTGTAAGAGTAGAGAAGACACACTCAACAACCATATTTTCCTTGTTCTAGCTAATACAGTGACATTTTTTGTTTTAGAACTAAGTTCATAAACGCCTACTAGAATAAAATCTCCAATCTCAATACTAGACTGAGCATAAAGCATCATATGACCTGACTCAACATCTTTGTGCATTGTCTGGTTTATGCACTGTAAATGCAAAGTTACAAGACTAGAGTTTCCTTGACCATTACTTATATCTTCCATGAACCCCTCTACACTAGATTCAATCTTAGCAAGGGACAAATAAGCTAGCGCTCTCGTCCTCTGTAATTTGGCTAGACCATTTTCACTATGCCATTTATTAGTAATCTCTATAGTCCCATCTTCTTGGGTGACTGAAAACTAAACCCAAATACCTTGGAACGGCTCTTGAGCAATCCTCCTCTTCAAGTATGACTAGCCCATAATTGGGATTACAAGCATTATCTCCAACCCTCATTAACTTCTGTAGATTCGCCAAATTTCAGCCTGGATTTTCCCTAAATATTGATACTCAATCCAACTAATCATCTCTCTCTCCGGCTTGAGATCAATTCCTCATGAGTCAGTATCAACAAAAGCCAAGTATTTAATCTTTCTCATATCAACAGCAGCATGATCTCCATAAATGTCATCAAACAAGAAAGTGAGCCTTATATCAACCTTAGTTTTACTCAATAGATCATGAAAATTAGAGACATCTTCAAGAAGACCCAAACAATCCTCATTCATGCTTAACGAACCTTTATAAGAACTAATGGAACATGCAAGTTCATCAAAAACATGATGCAGTAACTTTGGATGATGAATCAAGATATGGAGTTTATCATTAAAATCCTCACTCAATTCAATATGACTCGTTTCCACTACAGAATCAGAATGATTCGTGCCTTCACTTGGTTCAAGGGAAAGCTCATACCTATCAGTTTCATCATCATTAGAATAATGTTTGGTTTCGTCTTGGAATTTTGCAACTCCCAAATAAAAAATCCCATTTGGGTTGATCAACTTTGTCTCCAATAGCCTGCAAATTGTGTGTATAGATCATTCCATCATTGCCTTTGTTGCTGTAATCGGTTTCAACAGTCACTTGATTCGCATTAGGAGCCCAGTTCTCAACTATCCCCAAAACAGAACCTATAACTCCAACATAAGAAGAACATTCATCCTCTGCACTTCTTGAAAGGGAGAAGACTTCAAAGCTACAATCTATTTTTACTTCTTGATACCCAGGATTCAAGGTTATTCCTTCAGTAAGAAACATAGGATGGCCCAAGATTTCATTCTCTCCATCCCCTATTCCCACCTCTTTGGTATCCTCCACTGGAGGTTCATCCAGATTTTTCAAGATTCCATCATCCTCAATGAAGGGCATTTCAACAAACTAGTTTCCTCCATATTCAGTTGCTCATCCATTTTCACGGTCTCAGGTTCAAGAAGTTGATTCTTGAATTCTAATTCTCTTTCATTGCTCAACATTGAATGTTCCAACTCCTTTTGAACTGAAATGGATGAAGAAGGAAGCTTTGAACTTTCACCAAACAGGTGGTGTTCTTCAATTGCAAAACCATAGTCACCTTTCAAATGTTCGTCCATTTCACCATGGAGGACTTCAAACTTGTCTGTTTCTACCGTTGCCAAATGTGCATCAGTCCACTTCTTGATTGGGGCAGATATTGAAAGAGAGACCTCCTTGGAATTTCATTTCTTTGTTTCTTCAAGAATTTGATTAGTGAAATTTCCTTCCATCCGTTTTGTGAAATTTCCTTCCATCTATTTGGCTTGATTAGACACAGTTGAAAGCTACTCATTTTCATCCAAAATTGGATAATCCTCCCTTAATCGCCCCTCTCTGATTAAGGTTCTTAGGAATTCGCTAAATGTAGCTGCAAATGAAATCATACTACTCCTTAACTCAAAATCGATCTTATCTGACCTAGATTTGCATTCTGCTGCATTTACTTTTGTTGTGCATTCCGCTACATTTACTTCCGTTAACTATGAAACTCAGATTCTTGTGTCCCCATTTGATGAAGCAAGAATCAATTTGAAAAGATGGAAAAGAGAGAAAAGAAAGGAAGTAAAGGAAGAATGCGGATTAATAGAAGAGTTGAAGACAGAGATAAGAACAGGAAAAGAAGGGACAAGGAAGAGCAGAAATGAGAGAGGAACAGAGAGAAGATTTGAAAAAAGAATGATATCTTTGGGATAATCAAAGCTTGCAATCCAAGGACCCTTGGTTCTGATACCAATTGTAATGATCAAGGCTGAAGAATTAAGGAATTAAGGAAGATAAAAGGAGAGGAAAGCGAAGAACTATTGGGGAAGAAGATAACAGAGCAGGAAGGATAGGGAAGATAGAGTTCAGAGTAGAATTGATTATTTGGAAGAGAAGATTACAATTCACATGCCCAACTGATTTTCATTACATCCCAAATTTTCTATATATAGATTCAGCTTACAATGTAGTTACACGTAACTAACATTCCTCTTACAACTAATTGATCTAATTATCAGAATGGATCATAACACTTTGCTACTGCCCAAAGGGTCTAAAAGAAGATCAAAACACTAAAGAAATTGTATTAATAAATACAAATGAGTACAAAAGATATCCTCCTAGGCAAAGGGAATTGCACTAAAATATTTTTTTTTTACAAGATCAATTTGTTCCCAAAAAAAAAAAAAAAAAAAAAAAAAAAAAAAAAAAGAGTCACATGGCTACAGGTGACCACACAGAGCTATATTTTGTGAACTGAGAAGATAACACAACAATCACAAGAATTGTAAAAGTTTGCAAAGACCACAATGCTATTCCCGTATAGAACTCGCTACAGCATTCCATGGCTCACCCAAAAGAGTTATACTTCCAACGTAACCGCCAACGATGAAATTGACAATATAGTTGTACAAAAATAGTTAAACACAAAGCTCAAAGTCTTAGCAAATTCCACCATTCATTCTTGCATACACGAGTACAAAATTCCGTTCAAATTCAATTGCTCAAAAACGTTTATCCTCTTCCTAGTTTACTCAAATTCAATTATTACTTCTTCAATACACATGAAACATGTTTAACCACCAAAGAATCTATCTATAAAAAAAAATGATGATTTCAAATATAACTACGAATCTTATCTAATAATATGTATTTGCTTGATTTTACTATTTTTGCCTAGAGAAACAAATAAATAAATAACAGTAATCATCTACTCTCAATGTCCTTGGATTTTAAAACTCATTTCCCACTGGAGAAATGAATCACGGAAAGAGTTGCCAAGAGAAGAAAAATTGATATACCATCATTCAATCCTGAATTAAATGCTATACAGCAGAAGCAATTCAATACCACAAGTAAAACGAAGACATAGCTAGCTCAAGCACCCAAAACTAAAACTTGCACATACATACATAAATTTCCACCAATTATAAATTATAGTAGAAAACTGAAGTTTGACCAAGAACCGAAAATTTTAACCCAAAAAAAATTAAACTGACAGAATTTACAGGGACCTCAATTTTCACTTTGCTCAAAAGAAGGCGGGAAGGACTGGTACGACACTGGAAGGGGTAACTTTTTCTGGTACAAAAGTTGCCAGCATATTCATCAATCAAAAGTGTAACAAAATGCCACCGTATAGCCTTCTACCAAATCAACAGATGAGATGCAGCTATTATTTGTTAAGTGTTACAAGGGGTACGACCAACAAGCCTGCACTGGTCTGGTAGTAAGGAACAGATGACCTGCCCATTTACTGGGAAAAGTTCACCATCAATACCACAGCCTTTGTGTGTGTGCTTTCCAGGTTTGACCTTGACTGATTTTACCTGAAATGCAAGAAATTTAGTACCATTTGAGAGCTATCTCAACATACTGACACGACGTTACTTCAGAAAAGTATACAGTTGGATGGAAAATCAAAATTCACAAAATACAGACCAAGTTCCCGATTCCCAAGTTAAATTGAATTCCTAGTCTCAACTTTAATCACTGCCCTCATGACACGTTTACAGAAAGTTTAGGTGAAGTCCTTGTTCAGGCTCATAAAAGCATGACTTCATTCTCATTCATTTGTGAAGGTGCCCAGTCATGGCCACTTAAGATGCCTAAGATGCATATTCATTCATCATTCATATATGCTGGAGATCCTTATATTTAAATCTGAAAGATCATTTGGAACAATGCAGTAACACAGTTTGTGATGCAATGCTTGTGATATGTAACGGGAGTTGGAAAAAATAAAAATAAAAAAAGGTGAGCAAACAACATTTTTATGATGCAACAAAACACTTTTTGTGAAAAATGGGCTATCCAAACAAACCTATTATTTTCTTTACGGTATATATTCTTCACAGTAATGGATTACTTGCTCTGTACAGTGAAAAATGGATAGCAAAAGGAAATATTGCTGTTTTACCTTAACATATTCAACATATGGCAGTGACAGGTGTTTACCCAATTGTAGCCGCAAAAAGAATCTGATTAACCTCAACCGTCCATTTCCATGAACCAACAATAGATCCAAGTTTTTGTCATCATGCTCAGCTCTTGGTGCTACCACCTGTGAACTCAAACTTTGAACAGTTTTACATGAATGGTTGCACACCAACACACCAAGAAAATGACCTTTTTTGACGACCCATTTATCTTCAGACTTGAGGGCAATTTCCCTCTTGGCAGCAACATCTGCATCTTCTTTTGGACCTGGAAATTCAATAGAATTTTCCATATCCCAGTTAGGCTCAGTATCCCATCTTGGCTCTGCATCCCATATTGGACCCGGATCTGACATTGTCGAAGAAATATCCTCTTTATCATTCGGAGCATTATTTGCCCAAGAAGATCTCGTCGTATCATTAGCAGCAGTCACTCCAGTCCAGCCTTTGTCAGTCCTAGACTTGGACCTTGTCCTAGGCCAGTTGGGAGTTGAAGAAAGTGGTAGCTGAGGATGGATAACTTCAGGTTCAGATGTGGTGTTATTTCTTCCAGCTGAAAGCCGTTTTGATTTTGGATCAATTGCACGTACATACTCAGATGGCTCAGCACTACCAGAGGTAGCGTCCAAGTCCACTCCAGACATTCTGCTTGGGGTCATTATTGAATCAATACTTGATAGGCTAGAAGCTCTAGGAAGGCCCTCCTTGCTTGATCTCCTCATGATGTCAGTATACAAGTCTGCCATATCAATTACTTCCTGGTCAACCAGGCCTTTACCATCTCCAGTACCTTCTAATGAAGCTGGTAAGTATTCCACTTCAAAATTGTACTTTGGCAAGCAAAAGAATTTGAGGAAGCCGGCAACAAAATATCGTAAAGGCCCAAAGCGCTTCTGATATTTTTCAGAGAGTTCCAAAACTACAAGGAAACGAGCAAAGGGGTACAATAAATATTTCAATCTGAATGCCAATAAATACAGTTAAATCATTCAGCATCAAACAGTAAAACTTAAAGACTTTACAGGAGAAAGAAAACTGATCTTCACAGCATCAGAAAAAGCGTTGTGCAATATATTTCATTCTACCAAAAGTCAATAAGAATAGACATAAACCCTAAGCCAGTGACAGCTAATCCTCTATTTCCCGTGCCAAAGCACAGTGCTCTGTTAGCGGGGACTCTTCATTCATCACAACCCTGATATTGGTACAGAATAAGTACCTAACAGGGTCCCATTTAACTTAGGTTCTTTGACTTTCCAACAATGCCTTGTGCATCAGAGCCTATTTTCCTTCATTCACCATAAAAAAGGAGAAAAAGATAACTCCATGGATGTTTGCAAGTGTTTTTTCTGTGGATGCTTTGCTGCATCAGAGTCTATTGATATTCTAGTATGCGAAAAACATACACTGCAATCATTTAGCAGACAAACAAGAATACTGTTATCAATAAGCACCTAACATGTACCTATATCTAAGTCTTTCAAAGCACCCCCGTATTTAGTTTTAGATGATTGATAAATTGGACACCTAAACATGTTCCCATATTTGACACCTGTACCTGAGTCCAAGTAACATTGGGAGAGGAGCGGTGGGAGAGCAGGGGGCAGGCAAATAAAACTGCAACAAGGGAATGACAACCATATTGTGGCTTAGCCAGAGTAATTTTCTCCACGTAGAGACCACTAGTTCTATTCCTATGTGCACCTCATTAAGAAATTAGAACTAACAGAAGCCAAAACTCATCATGCCATGATGGTGATCTCAGTAGTAATGTTTGCAAAATTGATGGTTACATGTGCTTAATGAAAAAATCAACAATGGCCAGCTCGTAAGAGTTAAATTGTGAAATATATTTCAATCAGGGTTTTTATGCACTTTTGCACCAAACTGTCGAGTACATAAAGCAACTCCAATAAGATGTTATAAACATGTTATTAAACAAGATTAAACATGTAATCCTCACCTACCAAACTTGGAAGAATACATTAGTCAAGCAGAAAGAACATAAGGTCAAAATTAGCAGCCTCCTGTCATATAATCATGTTGTTTTCACATACAAATCACAAACCAGATGTTAATCAACGAAACATGAGGCAATTTCGAATAGTATGAAAGCCAAAATTGCACTCCTGTCAATAAAAGCTTTTTGTTGGCAGCCAAACAAGCAGTCAATAAGTATAAGCTGGTGAGACATCTACATCAGGATTTTCCATATCAAGAACACATCATGTAAAGCACAAATATCACTACAATTTGACAGATTCAGATTATATTAAGTTCTCTAACCAACTGGGCCCCAAGTAGGGTGAGATAAAATGATATGTTCTCAATCCAGTACACTGTATTTTCAAACAAGCAGAATATCCACCATTCAATAACTTTATCAAGGCTGAATTCTGAAATACAACAAATCCATTAAGGTACAAACTAATCAAATCCACACATAGAACATAGAGTCCTAGAGTGCCAATGAATTTACCGTCACTAACAAAACCAAAGTATGTCACAGTTGTCCCAAAGTGAATGCCACCACCTTGAATCCACTCAACAGCAAATACATCAGTAGCAGTAAGCCCTCCCTGTGATCAAGAAAACCAGATTATATATTAATACCAAAACGTAAACGAAGATCAGATAACTTTTAAGGAGCCACTATAAATCATTGCATTCTACTTTTATTTGATGTGGTGCCTTACATCTCCAGCACCTTTGCACGTGAATTGCTTCCTAAGTGTTGTATCCTAGAAGTTGACCCTCAGCTAAGCTATACCAAGTTCAATTCTACAATCGAAGTTTAGAACCTCACTCTAGGAACTATATATCTTATAACATGAGGCTGTAGCAATAACAAAATGTGAATTTTTTCTGACCGAAATCCCTTAATTATTTAGCAATATAATAAATGAGACCGACCCAAAAAAAAAAAAAAGATAGGCTCCTAATTATCAATTGTTGTTGGTCATGTTATTCTTCCAGAGACATTTTAAGTAAATCTAATCTATAATGGGAACTCCAGGATGTTTATTTTGTGGGTTTAGGATAAAGGAAGAGGTCTTCGCAATAAGTCAATCCATAAATTTTCAGGTGCTTAGTGAAAACCTCAAAAGCCTTCAAAGAGAGTACCCAACAGCTTAACTCTAGAGGCTGATGAACAAATGGAAAGCAACAGACTAACCAAAGACGCACATAAAATCAAAATCGGTGATTCCGAATATCAAACAAAGCTTTACAATGTAGTCAACTAGATTCTCATTATAGTTTATCCACCATAGAACCCAACGTTGTAAGCCTGGAGAAGTTTAGTCCAAGTAGCTGGTAATGGAAGCAGTAAAAATTAAAAAATCTACACTTAAATGCTACTTCACTTTCTTTGTGCTTAAAGGCATGACAAGCCATTCAAGTACTGGCACAGTTGCTCTCACAAACAACAAACATAAAGGCCATAACCTGCCCATTGAATTGATTCAAGACCAAGAATAGCAAATTTATAACTATTGTAATTAGTGCCAAGAGTGGTTCATTTGCTAGCCAGAATCACAACAGTATGTTGCTATAGCAGTGAAAACATCCATATGATTCTCATTTCTGTCAAGTGATATTGAAATGCTTTAAGTTGATGCAAAGCTGCAACTTAAACTCACTAATTAACTGCTTAAGGTTAGAAACACAGAGGTAAAATGCAGAAAAGGCCACAAGTGTAGGGTAGACTGGGTTAGCACCATTGATGTGCTCCATACATCATGTTTATTCAGAGATTATGGCGATTGTAAAATGTTATAGTACCAAACGTAAGATTAGGTGATCCCAAGCATTTGGAGGGGAAAAAAAGTTTGAAAGACAGAAGAAATAATAGGCTCAAAAAAGTAACAACTCCTGTTGCTCATATAAAGGAGTAACAAAGTAAAACAAATAATAGGTAGTGAAAACTAGCTTACTCTTGCCTGGTACTAAAGTAATAGATGACCAAAGTATGACTACTGTACCTTTACAATAGCTATAGCAGCAGACACTGGATCTCTAACTCCAAGGACAGTCCACACCAAAGAATTATCAGAACCAGCAGGTATAATACCAATGGGGATAGAAATTGCTTCTTTTTGGTTGTCTCGACTAAGTAAACCATTTAAAACCTGCAGGTAAGATGAATCCACATAAATGCAACTTGTCTCAGAGGAACAATTGATTAATTGTCAATAAATCAAATCAGTTAGATTAATTATTTCACATTAAATCAGTTGTGAGGAATTCAAATTCAAATGGAATCTAAGAAAATTCAAGCCACTTGTTTCCACTAAGAGCCAACTCAATGTACATAATTGACACAATTATAATTATGCACGTCACACAAGTTACAAAATCCAAGATCCATTTCATGTCGGAATCAGCTGTCAAGTACACTCTGAAACTATCTCAACATACTAAGAAGTAAAGACTGCATGATTAAATCTCACTGACACATCTAACGGCTTACTGTATGAAATGGACAAGAATCTTATCCCAAATCAGAACAGCCAATATGAAGCGCCAATTGACAATTCAAGACCCCGGGGTGGTTTAACTCACTAAGCACTTAAAGATAACAACTACTTCCTATTTACCGCGATACCAGTGCACATTCACCATAGACTTCCCTGCAACATGCTGGACATGTGGGCTTACAAAATTTTCCGCTGATATTACAAAAATTTAATTGTTATTATTGACTGTTAGTACTTAGGCATATTGATTATATTACTGCAAGACCCCAGGAGAAACCAACCTTGAGGTTCCAGTAACTGTAATGGAGAAGGCTCCCTGCTAAGCAATAGAAAATGGGACTTTCTGGAAACATTATGTGATTTAACTTCCTACCAGAAAACCAAAGGCAATGACTCGATTGCTCCTTCCATCTGAAAATCAATACCTGTCCTGGAACCCAACTTTCTTTGGTGATATGTGATCAGAATGGACAGATGACGTCAATCTAGTTAAATATACCTTATAACCACTTAAAAATCTTCAATCCTTGAGAATACATTGGTATCTATAAGAATTTTCCTAATTAGGAAACTGAAGCACTCACCCTAATTTTGGCATTTGAAAGGAAAAAATAACATTTGAAATAGATGATCATGGGCAGGGCTGAACATTTTCACCACATTAAATGACATTCATACTGCAATCAAAACTAATTTGAGCTGCTCTTGACTTGATTTTAGCAAGCTCAACTTGAGGTTGAAAAGCTGAGATAAGAATCTAGTGGAGCTCAGTCACAACAAGTCTTTTTGGGTCAAAATCTCATTAAACTTGACTCAATTTTCTGTATTCTAATTTGGTCCAGATATCTTCCAATACTCCCATTACCATAATTAGCCTTTAGACATACATAAATGATGTTGATTTGAATATACATGCATTTGATCAAATCGAGCACAATCTGGAATGCCTCGCACAATCTTTATTAGCTTCACACTAGACTTGCAAAACAAGTAGAAGTCATGAGACTATTTACTGGCTTTTCCATCTCAAACACAGAAGAAAGGGAAATGAACATCTCCTACCTAATTTTTGTAAATGTCACTCTTGCTATTGTTTGAAATATAAAGACCACATTCAAGCTATTGGGACCCAACTCCTAATTATACAAGCCCATTCTGGATTGGCAATAGATTCACATTAAGTGTTAGTGGCACTCCTAGACTAGTCAGCAGCTTATAGCATACTATAAGACCCCTATTAACCAGTTATTTTTGGAGTACTACCCACCAGGGGTGAAAACAAAGCACCAGCCAAGAGACCTGGAAAAGATATTGTCTATCCAACTTCTACCTCTATTCGTCTAAGTTTCCAAATAAAGCAGAGAAGAAGATAGACAAACTTCAGACAACTCCCATTATGAGGGTAGCACTGCCAATAATTTTTTGGCTAATTTCCCTCAACTGCTCCCTCAAATTCAGTCAAACAAAAGCTTGAGTCAAGCTCAAGCGTGCTTGCTAAGGTAAACCAGAACCATGCACACTAGTATTCTGCTCATATGCTCCATGACTTGCTCGAAATCTTGTGTGTGTGGGTGTGTGTAAGATTACTAAAATGCCAGCCCCTTTTGGACATATTACATCTTTATTAGCTTTTTTTAGGTTAGTAGTTGGAGGTTATAGATTTTTTTTAGCTTTTTTTAGGTAATGATCTCAGATAAAATAATTTAACTAATCTGGCTCCAAAAAGAAAAGGAAAAGCAAACCAAAAAACTAAGCTTGAGCTCGCTTTGCTTTCAGCAATGAGCTTGAGCTCCTCGCTGTTTTTATCAAATCTAGATCTCAAACATGACATTTGGTATTCAATGAAGCTTGAGCACAGGTAAAATTAGTCAAGCTCAGGCAGTGTTCGTGCTCGACTCAGCTAGTTTATACTCCTAAAGTCTAAACTTGGTCCAAATGCAGAAGCAAAATTCGATCTGATGGAATGGAATACAATGAGGATCCAAATGCCCGACTTGCCTAGGGCAGTGTTTCCCAATCATGGAGATGCTGCAATAAGAATATCAGACTTGAACAAATCACTAGTTAGCAAATGGAGGTTTGAAAAAAGAGGACAATTCACACTAGAGGCAGAGTATTGACTTAAAAGTGTGGTCTGATTAGCTGTCAACATTTAAGAATAAACCAGGAAAAGCATTGACCGAGAAGGCAACAAGCTCAAATGGCATACTCATTTTGCTGGAAGGGATTGCATCAGAATCAGATTCTCAAATAACATCTAGTGGAGCAACAAAACCTTTGAGGGATAATGATTCCCTATTGTTCACACTTGTTGCCAATCATGGAGTTATTATTGTGGAAATTCTTCATACAGCAGTTTAGGAGTAACACAGAAGCTGCAATTTCAGCCCCAGGATGCAGAGAACTTTCCAGTAGACCTTTAATCTCTCAACATTGAGAATAAACATCATGATCCAATCAATTGGTATGGTGGAGCAAAAAGTGAATTTTCAATCGAATTCCTGCCATCATCTGGGAAACTACGCTTTGAGCTTCCTTCTGAAAAACTATGGGATACTGCTACACCGAAACAAGCAGTCTTTTTATATTTGGGAAGTGACTCATCAAAGCATTCTAACAGGGGATATGCAGACAAAAATGAACACAGTCTACATAAGTTGTTATCATCCAAAACTAAAGAACACGAGTCCCCTACTACTGCATTGTGAAATATCATCAGAATTATAGTCAACACATTTCAAACTTGCCAATTTTCTATGAAAATGCCATGAACAGTAGAAAATGTAAAAAACTTATCACTGAGTTGGACCTTTTAATTCAAAAGGAGAAATAAGACTAGAATGGGATTGTGCCCAGCTTTGTATTCTTGAAGGCTAAGGAGAGGAACAACTGATCTTTCAATGGAAATGTGAAGTTTGAGTGGAAAATACCCTTTAAAAGTATAACAATTCCTGCTGAGTCGGATCTTTTATCTATTAAACAGGACCAAAAAATTAGGATTAAGATTGTGCCCAGCTGTTTGATTTTCCAGTCTATGGTGAAAGGAACAACTGATCTTTCAATAGGGATCCCCAGCACCGAGAACAACTTAATCTCATGTCCACAACACCCTGCAGTTTTGGATAAATGACACCCTAGCCAATTGAAAGCCTCTCTGCTGTTGATTCTTTTAACCCAGCTCATCATTGTTAAAGAAGATAACTAGATCCTGTATCCACAGGTTATACCCCCTTGGTGCCTCCAAGTAAATTATTTTAGGTTCTACGACATATTAACTGGGATCAACTCCGATCATCAAAATTAAAAAAAAAAATACAAACTGTCCTAATTAGCAAACTTCCAATATAATTATAACACGCTACAGAAGAAGCACTGCCAAAGAAATTAAGCTCATAAGCTAAATTTTACGTGCATAATTTCACTCAAACAGATACCAGCTATAAACATGAAATATCAAACTTCTAATGGTTGGAATTCACTTATGTGTTATGAATTGGGATCTATGTGCCCTGTGTAGTCTAACCAAGCCTGTCCAAGAATTGAAATTATAATACAATAACGTATAATTAACATGAAGTGCATCATTTTAAGAAAATCCTCGGGTCTCTATATAAAGTAAGAAAATGCAAAAGTGGAAGCACCAAACTAGGAGGAGATAGGATACCAATTAACAATGCAAAAGAAATCTGTTAAAGTGTTTCTGAAAACCCCAAAAATTAAAATTCCGATTTAAGAGAATTAGAAACATTCTTGCATCCTTTATTTTTTATTTTCTTTTTTTTTTATGAAAATATCTTTTTTACATGTATCCATCTGTAGAATATGCATACCCATGAAATTGTTGACTTGGTTATAGGTTTAGAAAAAATTTATTAGAGAAGCAAACTAAAGGCAGACAAATAGGACATTGAGTATGGCTTGAACAGAAAGTTGACACTAATACCAACCATATATAAGAAGTTACTCCCTGTTGACCTCAAATGACTCCTTTTGCTGGCAGGAGTGCTAATTCAGCAGCTACCGAAATTACACAAATTCCCTTCAACCCTAAATTTTTCTCAGGACATAATAAAGTCAACCTAATCTACATTAATAATGTCTTTTGAAGTAGTAACTTGAGTACCTTTTAGCAAGCCCACAAAAACAATTAAATGAAATTCCTGAAACTCCCTTGTACTCCAAGCTATATCACCATTGAACCATGTCTTACTGTCTGGTTTTCAAGTGGGAAATTGAGTTGATTTCCAGATATCCCAAAAATATAAATCTTTCAGGTCCTCCTGTTTTTTCCCCCTTTCTTTCTTCTTTTTGTCCAAGTACAAGGGAAGGGGTCTAACATCTATCGCTTACAGTATTCATAGATCTCATTTGTCATATTTAGATCCATGAATTGATCATTATGTGGAACTCTTCAATCACAAACTTCATATTGTTTAGCTATTGCCATCTGATACAGAAAAGTAAGATCGATAATTACAAAACCCAACCCCGAAATCATGAAGTCAAATGTTAAGGGGAAAAAAATCAGGTGTTGTGTAGAGATTAAACCACTTTTCTGTCTCATTGATAATATTCAGGAAAATATAAAGGTATTACTACTGACCATGAAAATGATGAAGCAAAAATCAGGTTAAGAGGCAGGGATTTGGAAGATATGCACAACTGCCAATATGCAGTATCCAGGCAGAAAAGGATATAATCAACTGACCTCATTCACTATTCCATCACCCCCGACGCATATGATACCTGACGATAGGGAAAAGATAAAAAACAACAAAGATAACTACAGAAAGATGACTTAAAAATAAAAATAAGTATAAATATAAATATAAATTATTTACTCAAATTAGACAAGAGATATGAAGCACAAAAATTTGAAAAATTACCATCAGGGCAAGTGCTGAAATCAACAGTTGCTGCAAGTTTTCTTGCATGACCAGCAGAATTTGTTTTCACCACCTCCAGCTGAAATCCAGCAAGCTGTTCATTCAAAAAATTGCAGTTATCAACTATGCTAACCAAAAAATTGGAATCAACATTCCATATCCAAAAAAATAATATGAATCAAACCAACTAGCGAATTTAATGCAGCATGTTATGAAAAAGTTTATGCAAACAATGTAGCAAAGAGCAAATATGAGACTCCCACCTCAACCCTGGTATGCACATACAAGAAACTGGGAAAAAAAAAATGCAGCAATAGTTAACCAAAGCAGAGCAGCACTTTTATTAAAAAGATAGTGTTAATCAAGAGGGTTAAAATGCCAAAAGCAATATGCCAGCACCACAAGTATGTCATGTTTCAGAGTCATTCAGTCAGTTGATAATTCCTTAACTAGAAAACAGACAATAACAAATTCTCCACATTGTAGGGGAAAATCTATGCTTCATTAGAGAAGTCAGCAGTAATATCTTACAAGATAAAAGATCAGCTGACAAAGGAAAGGTACTGAATCATCTAAGATGCTTTTATGGAGTGAAGAATTGCCTACCTCACAAGACCCAAAGAGCAACCGCACTTACTTTGCATCCCTACCAAGACACACTCCCACATCACTGGCCCTCGATCATTACAATAGTAAAAGAGAGATTGGGGGAATGAACTGTAAATTTTCATACCTAATAAAATCTTGAGTTTAATGGGGGTCTTTTCGTAATTTTGTCCACCTTTTATTGTCATTGTCTTCTCTGCTCTTACTTTCTTCCACCTAACCGTTCACCTGCTGCTCGACTTCCAATCTCTCATTCTCAAGCGCATAGACAAGCATAAGCACATGCTCACATGCACTCCATACAATTAGCAACAATGTCATCAATTATTGTCTTTTGTTAAGCTTCTTTTTTCTTCATCTTCATTCCAACTTTTGTCAAATTCATCTCAAATTTGTCATTTCTATTAATCACTAATTCTGAAACACTAAGCCCCAAATACAAACCCATTATGTCTTCTTCAGTATTATGTAGCCACCTCTTTTTTTTCGTATGAAATGAATAACAACAATACTCTCAACTGATGGATCAGGCTTCCCTTGAATGGCTACAAGCTAATCTTTCAGGAACAGCTGGCACAAGCGTGGAGCTTCACTGCACCCTCCCACCTGTATGCTAACGTGGCACAGAAGACACAAAACACTAGCGTCACACGTTACCTTTCTATCTCCCTCCTTATTAAGCTTCCAAGAGAAACTGATCCTTCTTGTTTCCTCTTGCACTGCTAATAAAATTCCATATCAGGTAATATAGTTTGAAAGACAAAAAAGCTTTAATTAATTCAACAGATGTCCTCCTGCTGGCTGGCAACATGGGTCTATGAAATGGCCTTATCTGTTAGGGCACTGATCCTAAGTCTCTCTAGTTTGCAGTCTACATAAAACTAGTGTAACACTCACTATGAATGTTTCACAATGCACACTTTGTCAACAGCTAAATGTGATCACTATACGTCATTTACCCGTTTCTAAAGAGCAAACCCCAGATGAAGCTCTGTTTAGTTGCAAATGTCACAGTTTACAATCAAGAAATGGCCTCAGGTTTGTGGACCTAAGGCTGCATAAAGATGGCCTAACTAGATCCTATAATAGCAAAAACTTGATGCCCTAAAAAACCACACAATTGAATCGTAAAGCGCCAAACCAATTTATCACATCCCGTGCCGGGGGGGTTAAGTGAATCCAAATCACTTTAGGTTGTCAAGTTGAAGCAAGGGACCTTCATAATCAGATTTCTTTGAATAAAATTTCGTGAGTTTTCACTTCTCTTTTCAAGAGAGCTCCTTTGAATACTTGAGAATCTTTCTTAAGTTATTCATCCCGAACTTATCAATCAAGTATCTCCTTGGTTGTGGCGTTCTACTACCTACAATTTGGTTCGTTAATTCGAGCAGTTGCGGGTTGAGATAGTATCAACATTGTTCGTGACTCCTAGGATTAAATTGGGTCGAATTTCTTCGCTGCCAAACTGTTGGTGTAGTTGTCTAGATCGTGTCGAAGTGCGTATCACATCAGGGGGGTGGGGAAGAACGAGAGTCATAATAAGAATCGGCAACAAGACAATATAGCTCAGCTAAGCAATCATCGTACCATTACAGAAAATCGTAAGTCGAATATAAAGCAGCCAAAGTTACCAATCACTTGAAAAAATTTAGTGGATATCTACGCAGGCAGAAGTGCAGAAAAAGAATTACAAAAATAAACACCTTCATTTCTTGATCAAAGCTATTCTCTCCAGCAAAAACCAGTAGAAAAACCTTAATCATAGTGCTAATCTTGCTAAAAGCCTGAAATTCAATGAGATGAACGAAAAGAAGAAGAAAATAGTCATTTAAACATCAAAATAGTCAAGCACAACACACCATAAACCTGAATATTCATAATAATGCAGCCATAATGGAGGATCCTAATCTAATTCAAATCTAACCATAACTCTTATTGTCCTATTCCAATCCCTCTCTTATCCTCATACCTTAACCTTTCTATCTGATAGCATTTAAACCACATCAGCACTCCTGGACTGGAGAAAAAAACAGGCCTTAAGTATTATTTGACCTTTACACAGTGGAATGAATTCAGGGCAGGCTTTTCTCCTGCTCTCATCGTATCAATTTTCCACGGCAGGAAAATAGAAATGAGTTTCCATAGAAATTCCTTCACTTTTCCCCAAAAAAAAATGACTCTACACTCAAATAATATACCCCCCCTTCTCATTTTATTAGTCTTGATTTCTAATTTGTTTTTTCCAAAATTAGTTGTTATAGTCTAAAAAGGGAAATCAAAAAAAGACCAACCTCTCCATTTTACCCTTATTCAATTTCCAAAAAGAGCATTAAAGTTTTGCTTCATCATTAAATGCTCAAACAAACCATTTTAAAATTCAAAAATCAACTAACAAATTTTGAAGTTAAATTAAGAACTAATCATGGAAAGAGTTATTTGCTGGTTGGTCAAGGATCAAGTTTCTTAAAATGTGTGCAAAGTTGACCATGACAAGTAAAACGGGGCAGAGGGATGAACTTGCATGTGTTTTGAGACAATGTCCTTGTTGCTTCGTTACCAAGTTCACTCCAGGTAAAATCTTTCCAGATGTAATCTTCTCCTAGATCTCAATCACCAAGAACACTAAAGAACTCATCTTTCAATACTCAATTTATCACTGGTTGCTTCAAAATTAGGCTGCATACCTAATTTAAGTTGTTCTGGAATTGTAATCACTGGCAAAGTATCTCTTCCAAATGAACCATCTGGATACACATCATAGACTAGCACAGAACCAAATGTACCAAATGACCCTGCAATACATCAATATTTAAGGCATACTTCCCCCTGATCTGAAGACTTATGGATGCCACCTTGAATCTCCTCATGAACTTCCTATCTCCTAGGTTCATGAGTTGATCAAGTGCTTTAGACAATGAATGATTCAGCCAGTTCCTTCACTTCTTCCACCCCTGCTCCCATAATCTATGTTGTTTGGCTCTAGTTTTAATTGAAACAGGCGGAAGCACAAGAAAAAGAAACACTAGATTCATGATCACAGCTAAAATTTTTAGCAAAAACCAGAGAACCTTAATGAGAGAGCTAATCTTTCTCAAAACATGAAGTTCAATAACATGAAATCGAACACGGAGACGATAGTCATTTAAATTTCAGAATAGTCAGTTATAACAAATTACATGCATAAACATTTGTAGTACATAAATATTTCTAGAAATGCAGCTATAAAATAGGATCCTAATCTAATTTAAACAGCATCCTAATCTTTACTTGTTTAAATCCTAATCTTTACAGTCCTGCCCAAGTATAATGCTTTGCATATCCTTGTCCCCTTATCCTACTAATCGATAGCATCTATACTGCATCACCTATGTGGTAGCAAAATTTTCTTCCTCTTTTCTTTTATCGTTGTCAATAAGATCTTCATTCAAAATGAACCTGAAGAGCAAACCCAGCTCATCTGAATACCTCTATCATACTTTCACCTTTGGAATGTCCCAGATTTGCATCACCGACAAAGTGGCATTGTTCTCATTTGTATTTCCAATTTTACTTCTCATTATCCTAGGAAAACAAATTATTTATGTTTGTGGGACCCGCGAACCCTAGTTCACATGCTCATAGTATATTACTTAAATGTGCTTTCCAATAGCTTGACTTGTACAAACCAGAGACTTGAATATGGGAGTGAAAATACAAAATATTTTCTGACTACCATTGTGAAGGGAAAAAAGTGTCTTGGTGGTACATTAAGTTCTAATTTCCAGAATAAAAGAGGACTTATGTTGTACCTATTGGATCTAAAGAGACAATAATGATTACAGATAACAATGAAAAGAAATTAAAACAATTAGCACAAGGATGATAATAAGAACCATAAAGTATGAAACCTAACCCAATCTAAGTGACAGAAAATTATCCACTCAATCATTTGTACAAAAGCGCGTATTCTTCACACCAAAAACTAAGCAGAGAACAAGAAAAAACTTTTCATCTTCCGTAAAGGATGTCAGCGGAATGATTAACATTTATTCAGGAAAAGATATTTTTGTATCCACCTAAGGAGGCTCTCCTAGCTGAAAAAAATCCTAATTAGAACATGAGCTCAAGTTTGTATAACTAGGGTTTCAACATGAAATACAGAATGTATCATAACAAAAAAGTAAAACAAAGAGTAAAATGACCTTGTTCTGAGGAAAACAATTGAAATATAATAATGGCATTTAAGCAGATATAATGATTGAACCATGCCCTCAGACATTTTCTAGAATCTATGTTAAATTTGACTCAAGTTTCTTCACTCATCATACATAGTTCTCGACAGTCTAGTGGCTCAAAGGCAGTCACCGAACCAAGACACATAGAAAGATTGTGCCACAAAATGCAAGTAGATACTTGCTGATATACCTTGAATATGGGCTCAACCATGCCGTGGAAAACTTTACTTGAACGACCACGTCCTGACCGAGGGTTTAAGATCACGAGCATTCTAGGTGGACTTTTACATTTTATATATGACTCTGGAGGAAATTCATTAACAACAAAGTCTGAGGCCTGCTTCAGAGGATGAGGCAAACAATTCACATAACACTGCTGATCTGCAAATGAGCCAACCCATTGAAGGGCTTCCTCCGAGGTAGAAGCTAAGAAGCGAAAATCCTTCCGACTTCTCCCACTTTTCACAAAACAAGAAAGGCCAGAAGCTTTTTTACATGGGTAAGAATGCACTGTAAAGTGTCTAAGACCAGAATAATATGAAACCTGCCAAGTCAAATTTCCATATCATATTAATACGTCACACAAGAGTCATAAAAGAGCTCTTCCCTTTGTAACTAATCTGTCACTATCATGCAAAAAGAGAATAGCAAAGCTCACCGATATCACATCTTCAAGAGATAAGATTTGAGTACCCCAAACCAGTGCCTTACTTGTCAACTTAGCCTCAATAGCATCCTGTGTTGAAGTATCTGTTGAAGTTTGTACATCAGTACTTTTACTTGGCTTTCTCTTATCCAAGACCAGTTTTCCAGCAAACACCTCGTATCCTAATAAGTCAGACTGTTCATCTCCAATATCGATCCTATGTTCCTTCCCTTTAGCTTTCGCAGGATCATGATCGCTCACATTGATGTCGGCACGTGATGAAGCTTTTCCTCTGCTGCGTCTTTCTGGAAAGACAATTGGAGATGTCTGCTGTCCAGTTACTATTTGAGAACATAGACCCATCCGACGAAGAGATTGCTGAGGTGTAAGTCTCAAAGAACTGTTCTTTGAAAGATTCGCAGTCTTCTGCATAATAGCTTTTCACAGCAAGACGAAAAACAAAAATCTAAAACCAAGAAAAGTGCCACAAGATCCAATGAGCATACACCCCCATACGGCTCACCATGATACCTTGACCTGCATACTTAGCTTATTGTGATGGTAGTCCTTAATTTTTCAACCATTTAAATTATCATGTACAGGAGCTTCAATTGGTTACATCTGGAAAGAGTTAGATGCCGCATATCCTCTCATATACAATCTTTGTCATCTGCCATTCAGAAGAATAGAAGAATAAGAAGTCAAGCAAACAGGCATACAACCAATTATGTCAATCCCAGTGGCTTAAAGGCAAACCCTTACCTCTATGTTTTTCGAACGTCACTATTCCAGAAGTAGGCTTCCTTCCTTATATTGCTGATCAATGTATCTGTTGAGAGCTTATACATTTAGAAACAAACTTTCTCAAGAATAAGATAACTTTCTAGTATAGTATGACAGCAAAGTTATAAAACAAAAAAATTATAAAGTGAAAATTACACTCATTGTGAATTCAAACTAACTAAATAATTCCTAAAATGACAGCAGTGCTGTTACTCTCCACGCACAAATATATCTTCATCCTGAATGTTTGCTGAAGGTTTGAGTAGATAGTCCTGACCAACAAATTTACTATCCCTAAACTAGGTTGTAGCATATTTTTAAGAGGTCATAAAAGCAAGACATTTTACTAATGCACCAGCAACTCAAATTAATCTAATTTACAAGAAGCAGGGGCGCTCCTTAAATAAATTAAGCTAACACATCAACAGATTACAAACAGTACCAATGAATTTCATGGTAAGAGTATTGGTCTCAAAGAAGCACGTATGCCTGCTCTAAACGATTCCAGAAATGACAAAACCTGGTAGTATGACTTGACGATAAAATGCATACCAACGTAATTGCAACATTTTTAAATAACCTGAATTGATCCTCATATTTCCAAAAGCCATACCAAAGTGATTATCACCATAGTAACTACTCTCCATTTCAGATATCAAATTTATCAAGTCACAATTTCACGAAAAAAAAAAACAAATCATAGCCCAGAATCAAAAAACATAACAAGATTCTCATTTCAGCAACTGACGAAGAAATAGTAGTGTTTACAACAATTGCCTGTAAACCCTCTTCCGGTCCCATTTCACTACTTCTCAAACCATTTCCGTACCAACCAAACAAAAACCAAAACAGCCAAAAAACCCAAACCAAAGACCATCCCAATATTCACGATCACAACATTCTACAATGAATACCTTAAATCATTAATCACAACGGACAGATTGCAACCCCAATTGAATCTTCTACAAACACATCCACCATGTATGCAAGAGCTAATTGCGGTACAAAGTCAGATGATTTTGGGAAAAGGCGTTGGTGTTTGCTTTTACAGACCTTCGAGATGAAGAAGACAAAATATCATGTGTTGGAGATGGTGGCCGGAGGTGAATCCGACGTCGGTGACAGGGGCCGGCGACGGAGATCAGCTGCGTAAGGTTGTGCAGATGGGTGGTTGGGTATTGCGATGGGAGAAATGGGTCTAGAATAGCGACACGCTATTGTCGTCTTTATAAAAATTCCGTCTCATTTTTCTTTTTTTTTTTTGCCCTTTTCTTCTCCTTTTCTTTTGCTTATCAATCCTCCGATAATTTGATGGGTACTACTTTTTGGGGCTTTTTACACAAATAATCCAATTTTTATTCCAAATTCCCAAGATAGACCATCTTTTTAAGTTATTCCAAAAATATAAAGATTTCGATACTTCCACTAGGGACTTTTATCTGACTCATATTTTTACAAAATTAAAAAAATATATGCATGATATGAGGTGAAAGCCAATCTCTGAAATGACGATTCAAGTTTCGCAAAATCATCTAGTGACTTCAAAGTCGCAATTTCTAGATACGACTTATTATCTACAAGTAAGTCTTATTTTTTTTACAAGTTCACATTTCCTTGGACACGTTTTTAACTCTCAAACCTCATTTTGTTGAAAAATAGAACCCTTTTTGTTTCTCCCAATCAAACAAAAATCATAAACCCCATCGATTTTTTAGCTAAAGATTGTGCCCTAATTTGCATCTGCTACCTTTTCAATTTTGGATTGTGTCTGCCCTAAGTGAAGGAGACCCAACAAGTTGTCAACTCTCAATTCAATCTTGTATTGCGTGAATTGCCTATTGTAAAGTCAATATTTCAAATCTAAGTTGTCTATGCCTAGAGGAGATCCAACTCAATTTCAACACTCGATTTGATCCCTTGTTCCATTGGGTTGCTGATGGCAAGTCGAAATCACTCTTGCCAAACTAAAGGTAATTACGCCATATTTTGATGTTAAAAAATTTCTTCGATTAGCATTGCTTGGTGTATTATTTTTATTCTATTTTGCCCAAAATTTGACATTGGCTATATATTTACTTTATTTTAAGGGAAAATCATTCAAAACGTCCTTCATATTTTGCAGAATGACTTTATTTGTCCCTCACTTTTAAAAGTGTAATTTTACGTCCCTTACAAATGTATATTAGTCAAATTTGGTCTCTACCAAGGTTTTCGAGTAGTTTTTTGTCAAAATCCATCACGTACTTTGCACATGATCATTTTTAAGGGCAAAATTGTCAAATCAAATGTTACATAATCCGATTCATAGTCTCTCACATTTCACAAAATGAATTTTTTTGTTCCTAACATTTTACAAAATAAATTGTTTCGTCTCTTATATTTCACAAAATGAATTTTTTCATCCCTCATATTTTTCAAAATGGATTTTTTCATCCGTCATTGATCATGTCTACAAATAAGTTTTTTTTTTTTAAATTCATGTATATATCTATTTAATTTCACCTGAACAGTACGACTAGCATATAATATATCTCTATTTAATTTCATCTAAACAAACTAATCGTAATTGTACACATGCTATTTAATAGATATATACAGGAGTTTAAAATTAACAATTTTATTTTAAACCCATGTATATATTTATATGAGTTTACCATGTGAATCTATTCAATATTTGTGATCTTTCTCTTTTGGTAATAACCTATTTATTAAGTTGTATAATAAGGTCATCTAATTAATGGGTCCTAATTTGAATTTTATAGTCATACTAGCAAATTACAGTTTAAATTTGAAGTTTTTACTCGCCACTTTTAAGACCAAGAGTTGAATTACTTAGTTTGTAATTGTCTAAAAATTTGAAAGTGCTAATCATTTACTTCTTTTTGTCATGCTTTTCTTTTATTTATTTTTTCTATACAAATTTAATTCGATATAAACACTCGATAATGTTTCGAATTAAATGTCTTCTTTGTTTTCAATTTTCGAGTAAAAGGAAATGAATATGAGTAAAAAACTAACATTTTTTTAAATTCATATATATATATATCTATTTGATTTCACTTGAATGGTGCGAAATCAAATAGAGATATATTACATGCTATTCATACTACTTAGGTAAAATTAAATAGATATATACATGAATTTAAAAAAAAATTATTTACACACATAATCAATAAAGGATAAAAAAATCCATTTTGAAAAATGTGAATGATGAAAAAATTCATTTTGTGAAATGTGAGAGACAAAAAAATTCATTTTATGAAATGTGAGGGTCTATGAATCGACTTATATAAAATTTTATTTGATAATTTTGCGCTTAAAAAATAATCACGTGCAAAGCATATGATGGATTTCACCAAAAACTAGTTGAAAACTTAGGTAGGGACAAATTTAACCAATGTGAATTTATAAAGGACGTAAAATTACACTTTGAAAAGTGATGAATGAAAAAAATCATTTTACAAAATGTGAGGGGTGTTTTGAACGATTTTCCCTTATTTTAATATTGTTGTTGGAAGTAGTTTATTCTCTCTATGACCGTGTGTCATTATACCTAAATTTGGAAGTGGCTATGAGTTTACATTATTTTAATATTGTTTGTAGACACTAAATTTTATGCATTTTAAAATGAATTTTCTTTTGTAGGTTTATTTGAAAAAAAAAAGAGAGAAAAGAGGAAAAGAAAGAAAATTGAAAAAAGGGGAAAAAAAGAAAAAAAGATAAGAACAAAAAAAGAAGTCATGACAAAATTTACGCAATTTTAATCATTTCATTCTCAACCAATACACTATTAACCCATTTCAACACTCAATATCCCTTTTGTTCTTTCTTTTCATTTGTTAAAAATCCATCATTTATCAACCTAATTCCACCACCAACTCTCTCTCTCTCCGTCCCTTCTTTTCTTTCCCTCATGACACAAAATTCTTTCCCAACACAACTCTATCTTTCTCTCGGGCTCTCTCTCCCTCTTTTACTCTCTCTTTTTTCTTTCAAACATAAGACACAAAATAGCAAATTTTCTCATCTTCCTCCTCACTCTTCTCTGAGCTCCCTCTGTGACGACCCCACCTCTTCCCTTAGGGCGTACCTCAGGGGTTCGGCGGATCGCCTACCTAACTCTCGCCAGGATTCACTCACTCACATCAAGAAAATAGCGTGCAACCTCAAGAATAAAGGAAATAACAGTTTCCAAGTTTGGAACATACAGATACACTCATTTCTATCTCAAACATCCATACAATCCCAAATATATCAGAAGATTTAAGTTCTCACTACATTCAATCCTAATTGAGCGACTAGTGCGGGTACAATCGCAAAATTTCAAAAACTAGACTATGCTAGCCTGTACCAATCTCACGCCTCGCTCGTACCCCTGTAAGGAAAATAAATGGCGTGGAATGAGCTAAAAACCCAGTGAGGTTCCTAAACAAGTAATCAGGTATAGAAATCAGAGAAACGTTACATTTAACAATTTTCATATTTTGCACCGTAATATCCAGTCATTCACGAAATAAACACTCAATCATTGAAAGGATACGTGCTCACTTGGAGCCATTCATTTAAGTCATTCATTCATTCATTCGTCAATCATTTTCCTTATTCCTCCGACATTAGAAAACATTTGCAATTGAAAATTCCTTCAGTTTATTGACATTCATTCATTGATTTCATTTCCCACCACTAGCCAATTCACTGGCCAGTTCTCCACCAACCTTCATGGTCATACTCAAGTATACCAAAACACTGTCCCAGGGTCACCAGCCGCCTGACCGAGTCCGCTTCTGGCTCGAGTCGGCTGACAACGAAGGGCAAGGGCCCAGTTCAGCCAAGAGGCTTATATTCATGCACAAGTAGCATTCAATCATTTAATCATTGAAAATTTCACGTTAACTTAGGTCGAGTGCGATAAAGTACACACTCGCTTGTCGAAAATTCATTTAACAATTATTGAAAACATTTAACATTTATGCAAACATTCATAACAATCCACATAGGCATTAGAAGCACAACATACAAAGAACACTTACCAATCTAAGCCAAAATAACGTCAAAAGTTCCCTCTCGGATTATGCCTTTGATCACCGACAAACCCTAAGAATAACCAATCCCAAATTAAAGTGAGCAAATGTAATTTAAGATCCAACTAACCCTAAAATAAAATCTTACATCTTACTAATATTCATAATGGCAAGTAATAGAAATTTGGGCAACATGCCCTATGTATTTAGCTATTTTTTAGCCATTTATGACTTCCTTATTTTCCTTAACTCAGTCCAAATTCATACTGTAGACACCAAATTTTTAGTTTTTTAACTTTATTTGTTTAATTAATTTAATAGATTTATTGGCTTCAATTCTAGAGCTTTTATTTTATTTTTGTTCTAGTTTATTTTATTTTAGTTTATTTTTATTTTTATTTTATTTTTGTCTTCATACTGAATTTCAGAAAAAGAAAAAAAAAGGAAAAAGAAAGGGAAAAAAAGAAGGAAAAAAAAAAGAAAATTGACAAGTGGAAACTTGCATGTGGGACAAGTGTCCCTTCTTGTTTTTTAACAACACATCACCTAGGTGGCAAGGTTTTGGGACACTTGTAGGATAGGCACCTTTGAAAAACAGAAAAAAACAGAAGGGTGCGGGTGAGGAAAAAAAGTCTTCGACTGGAGGGTTTTGAGAGAATAGGGGGCGGCTAGAAGAACCTAAAGGGGGAAGAGACCGAGAGGGTTGAGGGCAAAAAAAAAAAACAGAGCAAAGGAGAAGGGCCTGGCCGGAGGAAAAATGAAAGAGAGGAACAAAAGAAAAGGGTTGAGAGAGAAAGATGGCTTCGGCTAAGGAACAGAGGTGACGGAAAAAACCAGAAAGGGGAGAAAAACAGAGGGGAAGCTGAGGGAAATAGGAGAGGCTTATGGCTGGAAAAAACAGAGAGGGGAGGCTTCGGCTTCAATGATCGGTGGGGGAAAATTTCCAACCACCACAGCAACCATCTCAACTCCATCCGCTGCCTGCCAAGACTCTTCCTCATGCTATCAGCCCAAGCCGCCACTAACCCGCATCCGCCGCCGCCGCTGTTCGTCATCTCAACTCCCGCTGCCAGCGTAGCCGTCGAAGCAGCAGGGGCTTCTACTGCCACCTTCATCAAGCCGTCTACCATCAACGCCTCCATAGCCAAGGCACAACTCAAATACCCACTGACCAGAAAGGGAAAGTCTCGGGCCGCTCTCTCTCTCCTTCGGACTGAGAA